TCTCTCCTATTTATAAATGAGTCTTATCCCTAAACTTTACATACTTGAAGATTACCCCTTTCACACCCTTTCACACTCTTCTGTAATTCCACCAGCTAACTAAAGTCTTACCAAGTTTCCATGATCTTAGCCTCTAACCTCATGATCCAGTATGTACTAGTGTTGTAGGATCTCCAGGATTACGGTGGCTATAATGTATACCAGTTCATTGCTTTTAGTTATGATAGTAGGGATTGCTGTGAGGGCTTTGTTGGTATATTCCAGCATACTGTCTGATGGTACTTCTCCACCAAGCCTACAATAATCAGTGTTAATCTATTATCTTTTGCATCCTATCTGCAACTGTACATGGAGAGGGTGCTAGTGAAGGTCTGGATTCAGCTATTTGCCACACATCAGTTCTTCTCTTAGGTCTTCTTGAGTATGGGATATAATATGTAGTTGGTCTATCTCTAGCTGTGAGAGCAGTTTCCTATTCGTTACGCTGAAGTGTTGGCTAACTAGCTGTTTCTCACTTAGCAATGAGGAACAGCTAGTTAGCCTCAAATGAAAGTCTTACATCCATCCATTGTTCTCTTATATGTTTCCTTTCTTCATCCAGATATCCAAATGAAAACCTCTCAAATAAATTATCCATCTTCTATTAACATATTGAGTGAAGGATAGCAATTAAAATAACATTGTGAGGGAGGACGTTTGTTTGGAGTACTTATATAGTATTAGTGATTGAGTGAGGATCTCATTTTTTCCTTTTAAATACATACATACATACATACATACATACATACATACATACACACACACACATACATACACACACACATACATATAAATAAATAAAAGCTACATGCTGCTTCACTGGCACTTCAAATGGTGGGCTATGGGCTGTACTTCCCTTGGGATCCCTACACTGTTTGCAAGGTGCAGTGAAAAGAGAAAACTGTCTCTCTATATTAGTTCCTGTCAAACTCCACAGTGCATTTGCTAAGATAGATAAAGAGCTGCCATCTGTGGATTTAGTGACAATAACTTATGCTTGCAGAAAAAATGAGTTAAATAGAATTCCTCAGAGCTATACAATACCATTAAAGGCTATTTAAATATCTAACAGCAATAAAGGAGCTGAAGTTTATATGGGTTTTCAAAGATGATATGTAGATGCTGTGAGATGAAGGTTTATTCTTTAATTCCAGCCAAAAGGGCTTAAAATCTTTGTATCTTGAGCTAAAAAGAGATGACTGATGACAATTTTTAACTTGTTTGACTTCCAGATGGACTATTTTATTCTTTATGTGGACAGTGAAGGTTCACAGATTTTAGTTGCCAATTGTTGTCGATTCTGATACCAAAATGTGTTGATTGAGATGTAGGGCACATTGATTAAATTGTAATCCCTGAGTTAAGTAGGTGACCACATGATTTGACTTCATGTGCTATTTTCACTATGACTAGGAAAGTTCTTCCAGATGTTTCTGCCTTTTTTCTCATGGGAAGTTTTGATTTAGAATAATACAGCACCATACTTACCCTTGGGTCCAATAGAATAGCTAAAGAAAGTCAATCTTTGTTGATGGGAAAAAAGTTGAGGCATGTGAATGTAATGTTATTTGGATGTCTGTATATTTCTTTTATCTTAAGCATTTCAATCTATTCTCCTTTGGTATCAAGATTGATCAAGATTAAATTTAAAACCTGGTTTCTGATTTGATTGCATTAGAAAGGGAGAAGGGACAACAATATACCAATGAAAGATGAAGCAATCAAGCTTGAAGCTTACCAGAAAACAAACAGCTACCTATTTTTCCTGGTAGATTACTTTTTTTAACACTCTAAGCCTGACATTTCCTGGGCAAGAAAGGCTATCCCTAAAGACTTGGAAAGCAAGAAGTATATTGAAGAGGCTTTACTTTACTGGGCATTTGTGGCTCCAAACAAGTAACCGAATTATTTCTCTCTTATGTTCTTGTCTGCCTTTGGATAGTGCAATTTTAGACTTTTGCTGGGAGAGAGACAGGATAAGGAACTTGGAGATAAAACTATGGACCCTAATAATTATTGAAGTTAGGGATTAGATCTTAAGTAAACAAAAATAAGAAAAGTACAAGGCATACTTTCTAATAATATAATACAATATTTGTAACCAGTAGATTCAGGACGTATACCAAGTTGTATCTCACACACTACATATAATTAACCTGAGGAATTTACAGTAATAAAATTAGGTAATTACAGCTCATACACATGATTTAAAGTGAAAATGAGCAAAGATTCATGGCAGATATGCAAAGCAGTGATAGCTGAAAGTAACATCAGTAGAGGGAATACAGTTGGTTAGAGATGACGGTAGTGTAAAAGTCTTCAGTTAGATGTTCTGCTTGTGATCATCTAGCTAGCTTGAAAGTCATCTAGCTAGCAGTTCTTGGAAGCAGAATTATGGAGAGAAAGACTTGTGCCTGATTCAACCAAGCACTCTTAATGGTTTTGCCTGAACTAATATATATCATCCTGCCTGAAAGGAGTTACAGGTGCATCCAAGAAAGAAGGGAAAAAACATATATAACAGCAATAAAATTATAATTATTTATAACATAATAATAATAATATGCCAAATGCAGACTTTGCAAAGAAGCTGATGAAATTGTTGATCACATACTCAGCTGCTGTAAAAAAATCGCGCAGACTGATTATAAATTGCGGCACAATTCAGTAGCACAAATGATCCATTGGAATTTGTGCAAAAATTATAATATTAAAACAGCAACAAACTGGTGGGAACATCAGCCTGAAAAAGTCACCGAAAATCAGATGGTCAAGATCTTGTGGGATTTCCGTATACAAACCGACAAAATACTGGCACATAATACACCAGACATCACACTGGTTGAGAAAAATAAGGTCACAATCATAGATATCGCAATACCAGGTGATAGCAGGGTCGCCGAGAAGAAATATGAAAAAATCGCAAGATACCAGGACTTAAAAATCGAAATTCAACGACTATGGCACAAACCAGCAGTGATAATTCCAGTGGTAATTGGCACACTGGGTGCTATTCCAAAAGCACTGGAATTACATTAAAAACAGTTAAAAATTGACAAAATCACCATCAGTCAAATGCAAAAAGCCGCACTGCTTGGATCTGCACGCATATTACGAAAATACGTTACGACATCCTAGGCCCCTGTGTGGGGCCCAACTAGTAACCAATGCCAAATCCGGCGAAACAACTGGCCGCTGTGATACAATTGTATAATAATAATAATAATTAATAATAATAATACCACCAAATGCCTTGATAAGCCTTAGCTTCTTGTTTATTGACTACTTCAATCCACAAAAAATGTGTAAGAGGCAAAATGAAATTGAAATAAAAACAATTTGTTAAGTAACATTTATTGAAAGCTGCTGATGCTTCCACTTTTCTATAGCTTATCATCTACTGGGGAGGCCAGGAGTTGTGAGTGTTTCCAATATGTTCCATAAGATAGCACCAATAAAAGGGTCTGCTGAAAATTAGAACTGATCTTGATTGCAGGAATCCAGAGTAAACAGTGGGTGGGCTCAAAGATGAGGATTGCTGTAATGAAACTTTGCAGCCAAGGTATGCTAATTTTCAAATCATCAAAGTTTACCCTTCACTTACTGTGACAACTCTTCCACAGCAAAGCACATAAAACCTTGGATCATTTCTCCCCTGCTGTCTTAGAGTCCTATTTTTAGCTTGGTATTGTACATTGTATATTAATCACTTCTGTCAAACCACAATGGATTGCTACCTTGATCATCCGCAATTCACATTCACTCCCAGTGTGTGAGCCTGTTTAAATATCCAACAAATTTTGGAATGGAGAAAATGAAACTTTCATTCAACATTGTTCCTTCTTATTTTATAGGTTCCTAGCAGATGAGGTAATGGGTGTAATAGTTGATCTTATCTGAGCAGCAGAAGCAAAATTACATAATGACTGTTGAATGACTTTTCTGTCAACATGGCTGCCTTTAAACATAGCAGTCATCTTGTTTAAGAAGGAAAATCCTGTAGTATTACCGAATCTATAGAGCTGGACTGTAGTAAGGCTGAGTTTCCATTGAGTGATATAACAGCACTTTGTCTATTGCAATAATTACACCTTGTTTTTTCCCCGATAGGTTTTTAGTGTTCTCTGCTGTTTTTATTTGGAGGTGAGGCTTTTGAGGTATCAGCTAATTCTGGAATTACAATGGAGGAATGCAATCACACATAGTCTACTGGAGGAATAGTTCAATGTGGACACCAGGACCTCCTGAAAATTATCTATCCTTTCTTCTAAACCCATCATTTCTGCCTCAGCTGCTTCTCTCTGCTTTTGTAACTGTCCTCAGTGACTCCTGGACCATTTTGTCCTCCTCTGTGTCTCTGCTGAGGGGTTTCTTTCAACACTTACAACATGTCCAATCCATTTTTACCATTTTTACCAGTGAGCAGGAGGATCATAAGGAATTGGGGAATGTATTTACAACGGTACTGGCATCTAGAATAGCAGAATATCATATATGTTTATTTAAATATTATATATAATATAATAACATATATTATATAATATTTATTGAAACAAAAACATCTGTCTCTCTCAGATCCTTGGGAAGGACCTGATTGGTGGATAAAAATGCCAATTTGGTGCAAACCTCTGGCTGACTGTGACTGATTATAATAGTTTATTACATTGGATCAGCCCATATTGTATGCTACTCAGCTCTTCACAGTAATCCAAAAACCCTTCAAAAGGAATCCAATACTCATCCATCTCTGCTCTATTTGAGTATTTACACACTTGGAAAATTAAAAGTTTCACCAATATATCCAATTCTTCCCTATAGCCCATAAAAAGAACATATTTCCCATATATTTTAAAGATAGTAGGAAGCCAGAAATCTGTTGGTGAGTAATTTTGGCCTTTAGTTTGCCACAGCAGACGTCTTTGTGTAATATAAGTCCTTTTCTTTTGTCTTTTTAATTTTAGAATCAACCTTGTCCTATGTTAGGCAGCTGGAAGCAAGAGTAAGACAGCTGGAGGAGGAAAATCGCATGCTGCCCCAGGTGGGTGATTTCTGTTGCTAGGCATACTAGTTTGTAGCTGAGGTCTGGAGATAGAAGATTAAGACTGATGTGTGCCAGGGAATGGCTCACCATGCTATAGAGGAGATTGTGTGTATCTGAATGCTTTTTATACCTATAGATGGGAAGTTGAAGTGTTACTGTATTTCCTGTCAGCATCCTAAGTTGCCTGGATCAAGGGACTCAAATTCTTTATGGAGTAAGCAATTAGTCAGATAAGGAGTGATGGACAAAACTATGCAGCTGCAATGGAATAAGTCATGATGCAGAGACAATAGCCAGAACATTTCAGTCAGAGAGGCATCCGATGATTTGTGGATTCATTGCCTGCCCTCTGGAACTATGAAATACCTATATTTCATAGCCACTGAGGAAAAGAAATTGGTCAATTAGGGAGATAGACCTGCTTAGTCGTAAAATGATTAGGAAGCTTGTTTTACTAGGCAGTCAAATTGCCCTAGAATATGTTTGTTACACACACTTTTGTATACATGTAGTTGAAACTCTATCATGCAATTCTCGCTTATGCAATGAAGAGTTGTATCTGGAACATATAATAGTCAGGTATTTTCTGTGTAACAGTTTTCAACCTTGTCATTTCAGTTACGGTCCAGATCTTTGAGAAATAACTGAGAAAAGAAACAATCATAAAGAAAAACAAGCATATTACCTGGTGCAGTATTCTTCCACTCTAGATTTTGTACTTGGGATACTGCTTTTCCTCAAATATGCCCATACAGCTATCAAGAAAATGCAGTCATAGCTCAAGAAGGATAAACTCTGTCAAACTCTGAGCTTAATAAAGAAAGGCGGCTATGATGATTCAGTGACTATAGTATTCTGGTCAGAGTTCTCTTTGATCTTGCCTTCCTAAGAGTGAAGAAAGAGCAGGAGGTAGCTATATGGAAACTCTTTCTGTCTCTCTTTGTGTGTATAGACAGCAGTTTCTTGTGGATGTCTTTATTGAACAATAATAGCTATTGTTGATGTCTGATTCACTTGAGGCAGAGTAAGAACTATATGGGGGAGTTAAGCAATTAAAGCTTTTGAATAATGGCTAAGCATTGAAGAGAACATTCTGCATGCGCACTCAGATAGCAGGAAATTTTTTTAAGAGGCAGTGCATATTAGGACATCATGTGAATATATGACAACATGGAATAAACTACGGCTTGAATCTCACAATCTCAAGAACGATTTATATATTTCCTTTATCATCATCAGAACCACTGCAACGGATAACAGAAAATTAGCATATTAAATGGGGTTTCCTTTTTTCAGATTGTGACGAAGTGCTGCTCAAATGCAAATCTCCTTAGTTTGTCTGGTTTTGTCTTGTTTTTACATAGAAATATGCATTTTAGAAAATGGAAACATTGCAATAGACTACAATGTTTTATTATGGCAATCATCCACTTTACCTCTTTTCATTTAATGTCTCTTTAATGAGCACATTAGCATTTGTGCTTAGGGTAGTTAAGATTAAACTCTTTTTCATACTTCATTTTTTCAAGTGTTGACACTTTACTAGGAAAATCTCACTGGAGGTGGAAACCAGTTTTGCATAATAAATGTATGATTAAAGAAATCTGAAGTTACAAGCTTGCATGAATTCATCACTCATTTTTCCCTAGTCACATTCTGTGGAATATTTAAATGCTTGAGAAGTTATTTCAAAGTATCCAGATAATTGGTAGCCCTGTTTTAGAAGTTCAAATATAGGCCTTATGCACATTTAATTACAGTATTATTATTATTTTTGCAAAGTTTTAGGTTATATTTATTTTTTCAGTGTCTGAAGAAGGGATTAGTTGGGAACAGAACTTGAAGGAAAAAAATGAAATCCTTTTTTAGAGCAGATGTGTAAAATTGTCAGTTGTGAGAACTTGCTGGTATAGATAGAAGAAGCCCATAGTATCTTCCTTAGTTTGACAACAACTTCCTACCTCTTTTTTGTCTAGAATCTACTGAATTCTTAGCTACGAAAATCAGTCACAGAATATTGGCAATTGAAGTCCAAGTCACCAGTAGTATATCAGTTAGGGAGAGGAATGTTTAACTTCATTATTTAAGGAAAATACTGTGTTTCAGAATATGTAAGTCATACAAAGTGCCGTGGACTATGGAACAAAAATGGTAGATGTCTGTTTCAACTTACAGCAGATTGGGAATCTTTGAGAAAAACTGGAGGAGTACCAATATTTTTCCTGCATAGAAGGTGCTGAACTTCATTTTCCATAACTCTATGCTGACAGGTAATTTTTAGATTCAATCTAGACATTGCTTGATCAGAAAATTTGTGGTTGCCTTGTGAATTTGAGGGGGGGGGGATTGTTCCTGTCCCTGCCTTTCATCAGTCATACATGTATTTTAGAAATGTTCAGTGGGGATTGGTTTCCCAGGGCAATACCTATGAATTCCAACGTACATAGGATTTAGTAATACTAATCTGAATTGTCATAGTTAAGTCAAAGCTTTTTACCAAGATACAGCAAGAAATGTAAGAAATATTTTTGACCACCTGGTGGTATACTTTGCAACTTACTGACATGACTGTTCATATGCTATGTCAGTCATCGGTACCAAGTTGCATGGTATATATGATAAGCTTCCGAGTTCTTAGTGGGATTTATTCTGCTTCTAGTCAATGTTAGTTTCATATATGCTATCCTTTCTGTCCAGTTTCTTCTTCAATATATTATTAAAAACACATACATGAACAAAGAAAATGTTTATTTATCTTATATGAAACTTTCCCTAATGTATCTTTTTCTTTCTTGCATATTAGTATGGATGTTTCCCCAGTCTATGCATTTATATATATATGATTGTTTTGTTTTGTTTTTGCGTGAGTGCTAAGAAACACTGGAAGTTCTCCTGTGCGCTACTTGGAGAGTCCAAGCATGGGGCTAATTCTGTCTGACTGCCCTGGACTGAACTGAAAACTTCTTTAGTCACGCCTCTGCTGCTGCACTTCAAATTTTTTCAATTCAGTCTAGCCCAGTGGACATGTTCTAAATTGGTTCCTATAAATTCATTCCTTGGACTCTCCAATTAGCCTCTATCTACTACAGAAATTACTTCATTGTCCTTAACAGAGCAGCTTGGTGAGAATTGCGACTCGACTCCAGCTCGATTGACGTGTCCTGGGTTCTTCTTGGGCACACGCGGTCGTTTTGGGCAACTGCAAGCAGCGGGGAGGGGTCAGAGTACTGATGCCCTCGCTTTTCGGCTTTCTGCGAGCGCAGCGGTTTATGGTGTGAGGACCTAACCGCTTGCGCTACTGCCACACGTGACCAGGCTTCCTCAGAGGCTAGATCCTCACATCGGCCATTTTCAAAGTTGTTTTTGAAGCGGTGGCCATTTTAAATTACCTGTTTTCCCACCCTAAGTCTGGTGGCCATTTTGGTGACTTTGTTCTTTCACGCATCGTCACTTGTGCTCCGGCAGCTGCAGGAAGCCTCAGAAGACCTAAAAAACACAGTGGGTGTATCTCCATCTGATCTTTACTGGCGGATTACTCCCCTGTGCATTGTGAGCCTCAGGCTGAGCAGGCAGCGAGGTTTTTGACCCCCTGGGGGGCATACTCCTGCCATACCACCTGCAGGGTGCTGGGAGCCGGTAGACTCACTGCACATGGATTAAGCCTCAATCATTTCAAGTGGTGAGTAAATCAGGCCCCACAATGGCAGATAGGGCATCTGAGGCCTCAGACCAACCAGGGCCTTCATCCGGTAGAGGGTTTGCCAGACAGGCCAGCAAGATGGCCTCAGAGGCCCTCAGTAAGGCTGGGGAAAAGAAGCAAGACAAGGCACAGGACAGGGTGGCCCTCAGACGCCAGAAAGTGCTGGATAAACAATTTGAGAAATCCCAGCGCAAGTCAACTGCTGTTCCATAGGAAGCCCCCACCAGGGATCCTCTGGAGCCACCAGCCCCAGTCATTATAAACAACCCCACCTCTGACAGGGATGAGGAGGGCCAGGAATTTTCCTCAAATGAATATTTGGCCCCTGCTCGGTCCCCCTGGCCTTCCATGGATGAGAATGAAGATCTCTTCCATTGTTCGATGGAGGTGGAGGAGGAATCTTCTCCACCCAGACCTATGGCCCTTCAGCATCCCTTGCCCGGGCCACCAAACAGACCAGGCCAGCGGAAGATCAGGGACCTGCTCAACCTGCAGAGATGCAGGATGTGATAGCCAGGGCCATCTCCCAGGGCATTGCAGAGAGTCTAAAGCAGAAATCCAAATGCTCTTGCAGGCCCAGTTCCACCAGGGTTTCTCCCCAGCAACCGGGCCACAGGTCTCCGTCTCCCCACTCTTCGCTTGACAACGAGGATTCAGCAGTGGATGAGGATGTCTTACTTGAGCAGGAGTTCGCAGGGAACGAGAGTGTGGTCACTGACAAACCAGCCTTCACTGGCCTGTTTAAACATAATTCCTTTAAGACTATTTTGAACAAGGCCAAGAATGCCACACACTGGGGTTTTCTGCTACTGATCAGACCACAGCAGCATGACCCGTCAAAACTGCGCTCGACTAAACCACGCCCGATTAAACCGTTGTCCCACCCCATCCTCCCCTGCCAAGAGGTCTGTGATGGAGCAGGAGATCCAGCACCTTTGAGAGATCAGAGCCATAGAGCCAGTGCCTGCGGAACAAGAAGGGCCAGGTGTTTACTCCATCCTGTTCCTGGTCTTGAGAGACCGCCTCCTACCAATTATCTCCCTACGACCAATTAGATCCCACAGATTAGGCCTCCTCCGGATTCCATTAGCTGTTGACCCCCCCCCCCCGGGGGAGGGCCTTCTCTGTGGCTGCTCCGGCCCTCTGGAACGATCTCCCTGTGGAGATTCGGACCCTCACTACCCTTCAGGCTTTCCGCAAAGCCGTTAAGACCTGGCTGTTCCAGCAGGCCTGGGGCTGATGAGTTCCCAACCCCATTCAAATTGTTGCAGCTGTTGATGAGTTTTTTTAATCTGTT